AAAAAAGAACCCCTGTGTCTCTCAGGATGGCAGGTAGAGTAAGTGATAAAACGCAAGAGATTTTCACAGCTCAAATCCCACCCTCCTTGCCTCATTGCTGAGTAATGTCTTCTCAGGAACCTTAACAAGGCAAAGTGCAAACTATTTCATCCTGGAAAAATCCATACGGGACTTACATGTGCATGCTGCATAGGTATCTGATCAAAGTGGTCCCATAGCTATGTGCCCAGGCACCATGCCGTGTAAGGAGTTTTGAATATTTTCCCATGCAGAGGCATTGTCATTGCAACATCTAAGTGCTTCTGCAAAACTTTCTTTGCTCTTTTCAGTAATGATGGCCAATTCAGTCAGTCACAAATTTGGTTCAAAGATGGGAATTCAATTTGGCTCTAACCATATAAATTAGGACAAAATCTCCATAACAAGGAGATTATATTTTTCAGAATGAACTGGAAAACACAGGTTTTTCCTTTAATGCAAAAATTATGAGCCTCTAAACAGGGCTGAATACAAGTTATCTCAAGGAGACTTTAGCTTTGACCTCAGATATTTTCCTCTTTATACAAAGGATAACTAAGTGTTATTTGACTGAAATTTCATTGAAAATTATCCAAGTTTAAGCTTTCCTGGAAAGTCTGTAACTGACTCTCTACCTCAAAATTTGATTTACGGGCCCAGCCTCACTACCAACTAAATGGATAGCACCACCCTCATCCCATCCCCCCACCCCCGAAAGAATTCACTTCAGAGGACTGCACTGAAGGAAGCTACAGCTCAAGAAGAGGAACTTGTCTGATCAGAACACACAGGAGCCTATGAGGGGGGGAAGGGGAAAAAAGAGAGAGAGAGAGAGAGAAAGAGTGAAGCACATCTGGCTCAAGCCTTGAGAAAAATGTTCTTGCTCAGAACACCAATGCACAGAGATTACCACAGGGCTGGCCTCAACACAGGACACACCATTCCCCATTGACCCATAGCACCATTGGGGACAACACTAGAGACACAGGGCAGGAATTGTGCCCATCCTGAGCTCACTATGCCGAAGCCAGCCTCTGGGGGCATGCAGCAGAGCAGTGGGGGGAGCAGAGTAATGAAGTCCCCAGGGATAGATGTGGTGCCAGGGCATGGGACTCCATCAGACTCGACTGGAAAGCACTCATGAAGGACAACAAATGGACCCTGAACTATTTATACGTTTTGTGTGTGTGCTGTTGTAGCTATTGTTTTACTTTCTATTGTTGCTTCAGTGTACTCAGTCTTGTGATGGCACATAGCACGTCTACCTGGAAGGGATAGGTGGGATAAACAAGCCAGAAGAGAGAACAACGGGATGACAGTTCTGG